AATGCACCTATTTCCACATCTGCACTCCATCAGCTGATTATTTCTATTTGCCTCACTTCATGAGCTTCATAACATGTACCTTGTACCGCAGAGTTTGCAACGCAAATAAATGGGGCCAATCTTCAGTCGGATGTGAATGTGTAATCTAACATTTTCAGTAAGAATAATGGACAAAAGGAGTGCAAATACAAATTCAATTTATTGAAATGTGAACCAAAAGTTAATCAAACATGTTTTAAATAAAAAGCACATATGGACAGAAGGTGTAAACCTATTAAATGTATACTGTAAGTAAACACATTTAGTCAAATAAAGTGACAGACTAGGCCTGATCAGGTGGTATCAGCTATGCATGGGCTCCTCCATCAGGTCTGGTCCTCCTCACAGAGGAAAGACCCTCAGTCCTCTCCGGCCAAACCAACAGACAGGACGTCCATCACACGGAGGTTTCTCTCTGAAGTCTCTGCAGCTCTCTGGACACCACGCTGTCTCAATCCATCCACACTGAATATGAGAGGGGAAAAATGAAAATAATAAATGCTTTAGACAATAAGAAATATAAAGTTGACTGTTGAGTTGCTCAGTTTTTTTAGATTGTCAATACTATTACTGTATAACTAATATCTCAGGTTAAGAGGCACCTTCAAATAAAGATTGGTCTTTAAATACATTTCGTCTTTTGAATTGTTTGTCTAAAGTCAAGGATCTAGAACTGGTACTTGTAGTTTTAATGATACAGTCTGGTTATAATGCTGTTTGGAGGAGGCCTCACAGGTAAGAGCACTAACTAGCTATCATCACATGTACCTTAGCTTAACTTAAATGTATTAAACGTATAATTAAGTGATGGCAAAATATAAATAACTAATGTCATGCAAACATATTAATATTTGCTTGATTCCAGTGTTTAATTTAGCACAATTGCATACAAACGTTAAGGGATTTTAAGATTCTGAAGTATTATGCTAAAAACTCAACTTAGATTATTATTTATAGTTTTGCTGAATAGTCTCATGTCCGCTTACCTTAGAAACGTAAAATGCGACGGCAGTGTGCAGATGGGGAGCATGTTAGCTTAGCTTGGTAGCTTCAGCTAGCTCTGGAACTTCCAGCCCGGTGGCAGCAGGTCCCGCCTCAGCTCCGCCTCTTTGCCCTTATTTGGAGCAGGCGGGAGTGGAACTCTGATGCCACTGTCGAGCCGTCAGTGGCCGACTCCGCCTACTAAGGGCTTCTCGGCAACTCTGCAGAATCCTATGGGTGACGTCACGGACCCTACGTCCATTTATATATACAGTCTATGGTTATGACACACCAAGAGCAAGAATGAGCGGATTTCGGGGTAAAGAAAAGCGATTGGCCTTCCAGCGGGTAAGAAAGTCGGCACTACATTGCTGTGTGCCACTGTGTACGAATTCGGCCCGTTATAATCGGGAGATAAGTTTCCATGCATTTCCCATTGATGCTGAGGTAAAGGCTCAGTGGCTGATCAAGGTCCGTAGGGACAATTTCAGCCCCACAAAAAATACCCGTGTGTGCAGTAGGCATTTTCGACCAGGAGACGTATTGGTCACAGCTGGAGGACTGCACAGAGTACAGAAAGGAGCTACACCGGTTCTCTTTTCATGGAATAATTACGAGCTACCTACACCAAGACGAAATGTTTGGGAGCGTCGGCCGAGGGCAGAGAGCCCCACCCCGGACTTGACAGCTTAGTACGAGGTGGAAACAGTTGCGCTGCCTGATCATGAGTACTGTTTAAATCCAGCGACGGCAGTGATGGCAAATCAGGTGGCCGACGAGAACGAAGCCTTGAAAAGTCAGATTAGGGAGCTCCAACACCAGCTGGAAGTGTTACAACTGCGATCTCGTTTCGGGATACAACGCCTGGCAGGGTTGGACGAGGACATTCGTTTCTACACCAGGTTTGTTTATAAGGCTATCAGGATGTTGTTATGGCCACTAGTTTGAAAAACACCTTTCATTTGGGGAAGCTAATTTAAGAAACAAAACAATGTCTAACATGAACAATATTACATTCTTAGATTTGCCACATAAGCATTTCCTTGCCTTTTGGAAATTGGTGGAGCCAGCAGCCAACACCAAGATGGTGCGGATCACCAACGCCAAGGCATCCTCTGCCAGCAGCTCGGATTCCTCTCAACCAACAACAACGGTATGCAGCATACAAGCATGGATGTATATTAATAATTATGCATGCTGCGCACTATACCACCGTTTAACAAGTGTATCGCATCACTCACACAACACACACACATGCCACACCCACACACACACACACACACACGGAAAATGTGTTACAACTGTACCCGGTCTCCCTATAACAGTATCTACAGTATGCCTAACACTTATTTGTTTTCACAGAAACTTCCACCCATAGATGAGCTGGGGAGCAATGATTAAAAGATGTCTTGCTCCCAAACCAATTGTGTATTTCATTGTGGTCATTACAAAAAGCAGTCATACCATACTATGTTTAGGTACTAATGAATTATAACCTCAAAACAAATGCACACAAAAATAACATAGGACAATACATAATATAATAAATCCACAATATGATAACATTTTACAGATTCATTTAATACACTTTTACAAAACATAGGTTGATGTTATATCGGGGGAAAAAAATACATATTTAAACATTTCAATTAGTCTCTGCATATTTAAGTAATGCTAGTTTATGTAACAGATGAACAGATCAATGCAAGATAAGTTAGTTAGCATCCACAACTTTTGTTAATGAATAACGTCATATGACATTAAATGTCTGCCAATAAACACCCCTTTCTTCCTCACATAGGTCCTTTGACTAAAGGATCTTTTTGACTTATAGAACACACTTGGTTCTGGTTTTAGCAATTGAAAGAACTATATACAGGAAAATATTCATGTTGGATCAGTAATGTAGTGTGATGTAGTGTGGTACACTAATGTAGTGTAGTGCATATCAGTCCATGTAAAAATGAAAATAAAAATAATCTCCCTTCTCCCTAATGGTTGTAGCCACCTCGCAGTCTCTGCAGATACGCTGTATAAGGATATCCTCCTCTGCAAAAACGACGAAATCGCACCACTCCATCCCTGTGAGTAGGAGCTGGCCTTGCACCTGCCAATAGTAGCTATGAGACTGCTTCAGTTTTAATGTGCCATTTTGCATTTTTAACCTGTTCCACTCTGAGCCTGTTTTTCAGGTCTCAGGCTCGAAAATGACATTCCCAGAACAAATGACCATATCTTCCCTTCTAAAAGGGTTAAATTAATAATCTTTTCTCAAAGTAATGATAAACCTGTGAGTTGGATGTAGAAGTGTCAGAATCAATATAAATGTTTTTTATTTTAAAGAAAATTCAGATTTTACATAGTAAAAAACTGTAAATTATAGTGTCCGTCCAAAAATTATTTTTTACAGATAGTGAAAACTACCCTTGGATGATGGGTTAGTAGACTAAAAGCTTTAGGAATCCAAAGTACAACATATAATAAGTACCCTGTATCAAGATTGATGCAAAACAAGTGAAATTTGACCTTTTTAGAGAGATTTAGCCAAAAACTGGGCCATCTGGGGTCATTTGGGTGGATTTGACCTATCTCTGGCCCCCCTTGCTCGATCTGGTTGGTTGACATACCCTTGTGACCGTTAGAGCCAATAGAATCGAAGGAGGATACTTACATAGACACACATTGTAAAGAAAAAATGTTGCCGCTTCGCGTGTGGAAAGCGAAACTAAACTGGAGGAATGTCTCCTTCTGGAGTTTGGAAACTAAAACGCAGTTGTATTGCTTATGGATTATCAGAAATAATTTCAAAGAAGGCACAGACACATAGGATGAACCTATGGATTAACTGCAGCATCGTTTTTTTATCGTTTTAATGCCATTGAAGACCACTTTTGACCAAGGTAAGATATATTTACGTGTTTAGCTTCTTAGCTCCACATGTGATGATGTACGCTTTCGTTGATAGCGTCGCGAATGTTTACCACTGAGTGTTGAGGTGGGCACCGTTAGATTCAGTGTCTCCAGGACACCAAAAAATAGTGTTTGGTTGTGCATCTAGGATAAGTAATAAGGGAGTTCTGAGTGAGTTTATGTGTCTTTGTCGGTCCCGTTTTTTCGATCGAGGCTAATTCAGAGGCTGAGTGCTAGCATTGTGGGTTTTTTTTGAAAAAAAAAATTAAAAAGATCAGTTAGCTGAGTTTCTTCCCGTTACATGGATATAACACATTCATAGTTTTATTCAATATTAAGATTCCTTAGACGTTGTTTCCTGCAAATGACGCGTTTATCCGCCCGGTACCGGGGGGAAGGCGTGAAACAGGTTAAGTAGCTACAGTCCACATAACTTTTTGCATTTGGGCATTTTATTTCAACAAGTCCAAAAGGTGGGCTCTCAGTTGGGTCAAACACCAGACTGTCAGGAGATGACCCTAACCAGGGGGCATCTGGGTGAATGACAAACCCACACGGCCAGTAATTGGTGTTTTTAATCCGGCAGTATTCCTGGATGGCAACCGGTTCCAGTGCCAGTCCCCTCTTCATTGACGCCGTTTGCGCCACTCCCTTCCGAATCCGTTGTGCCAAGTTTTCAGCCGAACTCTGACCTCGAACATGGCATACTTCCCTGAAACGGGAAGAAGTTATTCTTGGCCTCCTAACACGGTGCCATTCCACACTGTCGCTCTGCTCCCTTGTGGCCACCTCGATTTTCCTTGCCATGAGCAATGTTGTCGCAAGTGACAGTAGATGGAGGTGCTGTTGGTGACTGCACACAAACTCACAGGTGGTAGGCTCCAGCCTATAGCCATCCACAGGTAGAGGTGGTGGTGGAGGGGCATCTGGGTGACGCACTATAACCCGGCTAAGAGGTAGTGGATGCTGGTATGAGATAGGGCTACCTTCCTGAACTTTTCCAAAGGTGGAGTTAACCAGTGGCACGTCCACACTTATAGCCATGGTGGTGATCAGTGGTGCAATGTCTACTGAGAAGTCCTTGTATACCTCGCTGACTTTGAGGACATCTGGGTCTGGCAGCTCCCCCTGCACGGCCTTGTAACGTGTACTCCTTTGAACATGTTTATATAATAATTAGGACTTTAAGGACAATTTTATACTCAGACAACAATCACAAAGTTGTTGCAGGCTACAGACAATTACTTAGGACAATAGATATTACCTTACACCGTCAGCAACTGTAAACTGCTTTGGCTTAGTGGAAATGAACACCATGTCACTCACTCTGCCTGGTTTCACACCCTATTAATTACACAAAAGAATTGTCAAATTAATTGAAATGGTCATTGATGCAACATACTAGATCAGCTCTTGGCACAAAGGAAATACTCATTAAACCGTGGATTGGTTGTGAACACATACTGTACTTACCATGGTTCTTGGCTTGTGCCATCGCTGCTCTGTTTCAGTGAATCTGAGGACAGGGGGTACAGCAGCCAGGTTGAGTGTGGAGTAGTGTGCGGTCTGGAACAGCAGTGCAACATTGTGGTTGCAGAGTGCTGTTCCAGCTACACAGGAACACTTTGCCACTGCAATCTCCACGGGTGAGCAGTTCTCAAAGACAATCTACACATTAAAATAAAATGTCAGTCATTTTACATTTAGAACACTGCTTCAATACAACACCGAAAAATGAGAAAGCTAAGAGCAGGCTGATCAGGCAAGTAGTAGGTGTGGGAAAAGGCTAAACCATGTCAGGTTATCAGTCACATCACATACACAGAAGTTCTGCTGTTTGGAATACTGTAATTTAAGGACATTCAAACAGATAAGCTCTCTCAGCTGTCTCAATTTATTATCTTATTATTATATTATAACTACATAAAATAGTGTTAGTAGAACGTTGAACAGCTTAACATAGATGTAGGGTACAAAACCAGCACTTACAGATGGAGCATCTTATTTCAGACTCCAGTTTACTGCTTCCTGCCTACTACCTGCCAGTTACCTGCCTAAGACCTGCCAAAGACCAGTATCTGGGAATGTTAAGCCCTCCCACTATTTTCCAAGAGGGCGTTGCCAGATTTTCAATTTCAGGATTTAACCAGGAGATGGCGCTTCCTTCACAAAAACAGGAAGAGAACTTTCATGGACTTTCAGTTTTGTTTAGAAGAGCATTTGAACACATCAATATTTTAGATCAAATAAAGTATATCTAATCTTGTAATTCAATAATATATAGTCTTTATATATTAAATAACTATGGCCAAACTAAGACTTAGTTTTTCACAAGAGAAAATGCAGATATTATATAAAAAACTAAAATTAAAATCTTGTTTTTAATGCCCCAAGAGCAATAAAAACACTTGGTAAAAAAATCCTGAGTGAGGCTTTCATAAATTGCATTTAGCTGACGCTTTTATCCAAAGCGACTTACTATTTAATAAATGATAAATGATTATTCATAACAAATATGAGTGATGTGTGATTATTATTCATGCTATATACTGATATAGGGCTAAGTAATCAATCAATCCTGCAAATTAACCCTTAGTTGTTCAATATATTTATTCAGACAATGTGAGTAGAAATACAGAAATTCTGCTCCCACCTAAGGCCAACGTTGCAATATTACAACATTTCCCTAAAAACTTACCAAAACGTAAACATTTTTAAAACTCTTTCATTTCTGCTCCAGAGGCCAGGGGTTAAATTGGGATTTGATATGTGGGGGGGCTCTGTTAGAAGGTGCGACGGGGGGGGACGGGGTGTTGTCGGCCGTAAGCGAAACGGGCCATTGGCGTCCGGCCGTTCTGTGATTCTCCAGAACTCACTGCTGGCCAGGGATAAGTCCCGACTCTCCCGACGGCCAATCCGTGCCTCCCCTGACTGCACGTTGCTGACACACACCGCTGCAAACTCTCTGCACGGAGGAGCCGCGGAGGAAGAGACACACGTTCACTAAGCCGAAAAAACGATATCCGGTCACAGTGATCTGCTATTTTAAAGTAAATTCAACACATATCGACCCTAAATATAACATATATTAAGAACGAGAAAGTGTTAACATCGTTTTTTGTAAACATATGACAAATGTGCGAGGGTGATGACATCAGAGCATCGTCCTATGGGCTTAGCCTGTTGGAGTAGAATACCTCTGCTACGCGCCGTTCGTTGGATGAGGCTGGATCTCTATTAAATTAAGAAAGGAATTGAAAACACCGGAATCAAAGTTATAACAAATTATCTGAGTTTACTTCTAGTAGGAAACCAAACACATATACAAGTTATACAGAGTACTCGAGTACCCCGGACTTTTAGATTTGTGATGCGATGCGGATAAATGCATCGGGACCAGACAAACTCATCAAACGAGAAGAAATTGGACTTCAAGTTTGTGATTCGATGCGGACACAGATATCAGGACCAACAAACTCACCAAACCCAAAAAGCAATTTTACACACACAAACGTCAGTATTTCTATCTGTCTTTGGGGCGGAGATTTGTCGATTCTTCCTTCCCACTTTTCTCCCAAGCGAATCAGAGAACCCCTGGGGAGGAGCTGTTTAAACTGACCACCTCCCCCAAGTGCCCTGACTGGCTGGATTCGCTTCTGGCCGGGTTCAATAGTTCTCTCCAGGACTTGAAATTCCAAAGTCCCCTAAGGTCAAAAGTCAATTCTTATCTCCGTCCCGATCTCCCCTCCCTACCTTTTCCAGGGGATCTTTTCCTATTTTACGATGTCTTTAACGACTTAGAAACAGCATCTGGCTCTTAGTGGTGATAAGGATCAATGTTGGTGTGTGAAACACAGAATCTCTAAGTCAGTGAATTTAAAAGTGAGAATAACATTCTTTTTCTAAGTGATTATCAAAACCCGTTCAAACAATATATGTTTACTTCAATACAGTGTAGAATCATATCTTCTTACTTCAATCCCTCTTTTGATCTCACCTCACGAGATCAACATATAGCATTTGAAACATTACCACTGTCAATTTTCTTCTTACTGTGTCTGTCCCAACATTTATATAAACCCATCAGAAGTTGGGATATAGAGCACTTTAAACCTTTAGGAACAGTCCACAACAACAACTTATTATGACAGTGGAGGGAGAATAAAATATGTCTAAAAAGCAAAGTCCTTGTCAGCTGAGTCATCTTTACTCTTCCCTCAATGGTGGAACTGATGAGTCTAACACACAGTGAGCAGATACAAGGCACACAACAACAACCACATGTCACCAAAATGGCAATAAAAGTAGCCACAGAAATCAGAAAAGACATTATCATACTTTTCCCTCTTTTGGTAACACATAGTTCTGTAGAATAAAAAATACAAATCCCTTACATTATGGGATATAAAAATAAAGTTGAAAGTTCCTCAAAAAAAATGGATTGTTCAGACAAAGTTCCACACCGGCTATATCAACCTGTTTCAGCGGGAAATGGAGTTCCCTGTGCCGTCTTGGTTTGCCATGTCTTCGTCCCCCCAGCCCGCTGACGGCGGCTTCTGGGGTGCCTGCTAGAGAGATGTGGCCTGATTGTCCTCCCCCGGCCCGCTGATGGCGGCTTCCGGGTCGATGCTGGAGAGATGTCCTGATCCTCCTCCTCCGGCCCGCTGATGGCGCCTCCTGGGTCGACTGCCTTGACGAGAGCCAGATCTGTTCTGATGTCGTCCAGGGTCCTCGCGACGAGGGCCAACTCTGTCCTGATGTCGTCCAGGGTCCTCGCAGGTGTTTTTCCCGACCGCACACTGGCTCCAGTGGTACCAGTTGTCTCCCTTTCCATCTAGGCGAACGGCATGAGAGGTCCCCTCCAACCAGACGTAATCTGCTGTGTTGGCCTTGTGTTTCTCGGGTCCCCCTTTTGACGTCAGCAGCCTGTGTGGAGAAGTCTCATACCAAGCCCTTAAGTTGCTTTTGTATATGGTTTTGAAATCATCTCAAAAAATAAAAATCAAAAATAAAAATCAAAAATCCAAATAAAAATAAAAAAAAGAACAAAAATAAAAATAAAACAAAAAAGGAACAAACTAACAAAACAAAAAATAACCAAAGCTAGATTATTTTAACTGTATCAATTTCTCTTAAAAGCAACAAATAAAACAAAACAAAAAATACCATAACTAGTATTTTTAAATTGATAAATTTCTCCTAAAAACGTAATAATCTCACATACATATTGTCTGATGTATATCCTATCCTTCTCCCCCTTTTTCTGAAATAGAACGCCGTTAACGGTGTTCTTATTTTCAGAAACATCGAGCCTTATACATCAGTTATTTAATATCAGCTATATATTTATTATTACTATTACTTATATATCAGGCATTAAATGTCAGCCTTCTTCCATGATCGACCTCGTCTACATTATCTGACTTATATTGATACGTGTCTGTTTGTATTTATTTAATATACTGGGCAATTTATTGATAACTTTTCGAATCTCCCTCTTTTCTTAACAACTTGAGGTATGGCTATTTTGAAATCTGACTTGGTTAAGAGATGATTTGTTTATTGGTGAAAGGAACACTCTTCCCCTCAATGGTGTGGGGGTGGATATTTAGGGAGAGTTCCTTACAATCTCCAGATCTTCCTCTCAGTGTAGAGGCCATAAAACCTTTTAATGGGCTCTGTGGTCTGTTCAGATTTAGATTTTCTTCCTCTCCAGAGGTCACGCCTGTCTTTGACCCTGTATGCTGCTTTGAATCTGCAGCACCTCAGGACAGAGAAAGGGAGATCTCTTCCCAAAAGTGTAAGTTCCCTTTTGAGCAACATAGCTCCACATTTAACACTCCCTGACTTGTTTGTAAAGCGTTCTTTAAGGCCTGAATCGAGTCTTCCGTTATGTAACGGAAAATCCCATTTCCAAAAAGGGTCAGTTTAATAGCCCTTATCATATTACCGCTCTGTGCTTGCATGCTAGGACCTATTGTCTTTGCCAGAGCTGCTGCTAGTCTTTCTACATGTATTAGCTCCATATTAGCAGGGTTCACTAACATGGTTGGTTGATCCAGTTTAAGATTTTTCAATATCTTCCATTACTATTTCCAACATTCCTTATCCCTGAATATCAGGTCTAACAATGTGTTTTCCTTTAGGAGTATTAGATGGGATACTCATAAGTGGCATTTGTGAGCCCTTATCTCCGTAGGGTGGAGGTAGGGTCTCAGACATTATACCACCTTCTCGTTGCTCTCTGTCTCTCAAGTATTACACAGATTTGACTTTAAAAAATCACACAGAGCTTCTCATACCTTATCATATCACATTCAGGCAAATCTTTATTGTGCGATGTTTATTTCAACAGATAGCGTGACTTCCAGAAGTAGGCTTCTACAATCTCCTCATGGTGATTGCGACTTCAGGTCAAGAGTTAAAAACTCAGTCAACAAAATCTCTTTATCGTCACGTTTAATGAGCCTGATTATCCCCACAACAGTTTTGTGATGAGATACGGTCGTTCCAA